GCAAAAATAGTCAATGCACAGGCGAATGGTAGATTTATAAATGTGAAAGATGTATTATGACGAGAAAAAATTGTCTATCCCGACACAGCGAACCAACTTTCCTAGCATTAGACCTAGCAATGGATTCACTATAATCTCTATACTTCATGCCAGTGGCAAACGTGAGCCCAAGTCAGTGGAAAAAATTGCCCTCTGCAAGGTTAGTATCAGTCATGATGATGAAAGGCAGAAAATGTTGTCTATGATGACTAAATGATAGCAAATAATCGGAGGTCATTTTCGAGAGAAGATGCCATTTTTATTTTGTCGTGCTTATCGACTAAGACACGAATAAAAATGTGTGTCCTCACTATAAATATCTAATTGGGAACTGATGACATTGGAAAGGTTGTTAATGAATACAAGAAACAATTAGGTCCAAGGATAGAGCAACAGTTTTAGTTAATTCTTTTTCATAACTCCGCTCTCCAAGATTTGGCTATCTCACTCTGCTGTGGCCAGGGATTAAACTTACAACTCTTTAGGTTAAGTTATTTTTGGATCAATTAACCATTGCTTCTATCCACTGAGATATCCAAAGGTATGGCACGTCGAAGTAGAAAAATCAACACTCCTCCACCCCCGTGTACTAAATAAAAGGTTCGGTTCGAAATTCCAACAAATATCACCTGAAGAAGGCAGGAGCGTACAACAGCCGAAACGTCGTGAATATAGCATTAAAGGTGAGGACAAAAGTACAAACAATGTAAATAGTGTAAATAATTTACACATCTCAGAGGTATAGACAGATGCCTTGATATGTGATAATAACAAACTCTTCTTGTAGGGGATGTGTGTGTGAATGTATTTTTTTTCTGAGGGTTACATTTTATATTCTGTAGTCATACAATGTAATTTTATTTTGACGATCAGGAAGAATATATAGCCCATGAAATCTTATTTTTTTTATATAAAGGCTTTATGAGAATATCAAAGATCCACGCAAAAATTGAATCAATATATATATATATATATATATATATATATATATATATATATATATATAAGTGAACATTGAAGTCAACACTCAAAGGCGACAGACTGTTTCATGTTAGACGCAATCGTCAGGCCTGACGATTGCGTCTAGTATGAAACACACTGTTACCTCTGAGTGTTGACTTCAATGTTCACTTTATTTTCTCTCTCTCTCTCTCTCTCTCTATTTCTCTCTCTCTCTCTCTCTCTGATATTGAGCACTTTATCCCATAAATATAGCACACCTTAAATCTATATTTCTTCATATATAGATAGATAGATCTCTGTACCCGAGCGGCCAAAGTAGGCCGGTAGACGAAATAAACACTGTTTAAAAAACGAGTCGTCAACTCAAATACTGGTATCCACTAAAATTAACATAGCGTTTAAAGCGTATATATATATATATATATATATATATATATATATATATATATATATATATATAAGATCAGAAATAATTTCAAAATGCAGACATGAAAATAAATATATCACAGTTCATACCAAACGAATAATACCTACAAGTCTATTACAATCAGGATAAAAAAGTACCATACTAATTTACAGAGATCAATAAAGTTACCAATACTGTTACCTATACTGCCATCACCCCTACGGACGAGAGGGTATAAACCACTAACACTTTAATATCATTTCATAACGGCTACCACTACTTCAGTTACCAATATTGTTGTTACCACCTTATGCACCAACCGAAAATAAGTACTACTATTATTATCACTTCATATTCTCCTCCAACAACATTAGTACTGCTTTTTACGATTATCTTCGTTTTCATTATTTATTTATTACCACTTCCATCATAATCATTACCACTATTGTTATTTTAATTTATCATTATTATTGTTATTACTACTACTGTTTTATTTTACTACTCTTATTATCATTATTATTCATTACTACTACTATTATTATCACTTCAATCCCAACACTATTAGTACTACTTTTCACCATTGACATTGTTCTCATTATTGTAATTATTATTTTATTTTTACTATTTTCACCATCATTTTCATGTTTACCACCTCTACTACCATAATTATCATTGTCATTATTATCAATTTTTTTAACAATTTACTTTTCTTCAACATTAGAGCTAAATTTACTGTTCAGACACCAATAACTATTATTACCCATTATAATATCAATTATTAGCACTATCGATATAATTGCGATTGTCTATACTACACAAGCAATCAACGTTAAAAATAAAACCATCATCACCGCCATATTTACATACAGCTCAAACAATACAATGATGTAAGGCCCAGAGAGATAGAAATATATGTGCACATATACATGTGTATATGTGTGTGTGTGAAGAAGTGTTATTGCGTTTCACGACAGAAATGGATGATCTGAATAGAGCCAAAAACACGCCAGCCTACTTCTTGTTGAAAGAACTTCGCTACATACTATCTCAACATCGAAATAGGATTACAGTTGCGTATGTATGTATGCTCGAACAAATGGATATATATCTAAGCCAAATCTCGCATTGTTTATATGTGTGTGTTTGTGTGAACTACAATGTGTACACCTCTATGTATGTATGTATGTATGTATGTATATATGTCTGCGTGCGTATGTGTTTCATTCCAAAACGGAGAATTTTTACCCTTCCACCACAACCAAACTTATTCAAAAACAAACTAGCATAAATAGATTCAATTTAAAAAAAATAAATCAGTCAAACTCATATCAATACAACTGTATATATATATATATATATATATATATATATATATATATGATGAAAACAAATAGAGTACAATTCCAGCGTTCGTAAAATTTAATTTAAAAGTGGGCTCAATACAAAGTAGAGCAATATTATTTATTTAAGGATACACCCAAAACATGTCAAAACACAATTGCAGTCGTGTTTCGATGCGTATCAATGCATCTCATCATGCGACGAGGCAACTTCGCTTAGTTTAAATTTAACGTAGGTCATATTTGATTGGTCGACAAACCTTATAACTCTCATATTTTTCTTTCTTCGTAAAAAGAGGTTGTATTTTGTTTTAAATCTAAATAAATCGTTCACTCGCCAATAATTTGTAACGCCTGATGAGATGCATTGATACGCATCGAAACACGACTACAATTGTGTAGTGATTTTGACATGTTTTTGATATAATATCCTAATATATATATATATATATATATATATATATATATATATATATATATATATTGATTATGAATAAAGACACAAAGATTTCCTCCTTTAACAAGAGAAATTTGCGGATTTTATTTTGCAGCAATTATTTACAAAAAGAAGTAAAATGTCCTTATATTTTCAAAATTTTTAAGTTTAAGAATATAATTTCAGGCTAACTGAATATCAAGATAAACTATAAAGGCTACTAAGTGATGTAATTTAATACCTAATAAATGAAAGTGTGTGTGAATGTTACTGTTGTATATATATATATATATATATATATATGTCTGTCTGTCTGTCTGTCTGTCTCTGTGTGTGTGTGTGTGTGTGTGTGTGTGTGTGTGTGTGTGTGTGTGTGTGTGTGTGTGTGTGTGTGATAAAAAGACATGGCCCAGTGGATAAAATCGTTGATTGGATCTTGGAATTCAATACCAGGCTACTGCATTGGTGAACAAAATCTTGGCGAGTTGAGTCAGATAACTCAGATAACTGAGACATGGCACGTGGAACTAGAACAATCTACCCCGGTAGAAGAAATACACGCTTCTTTTCGAAATTCCAATCACCTGAAGGCCGGAAACGTCTTGAATATGACAATAAAGATGGGGTCAACTATCCAAACAATGTAAACAGTGTAAATAATTACTGTAATATAGGCAGTGTATACGAAGTTATTTACGTATAACACAAAATAAACCGAACCTCGTTTGTTTTTGAAGAACAAAGAAATGTTTTTTACATCAAAACTTTCCTGTGAGCAATATAAAGTAGATATATTTGTGTGTTATATGTGAAACTATTCAGCCGTGTATTGAGAACACATAAACAAATTCTTCTCAATTATTTCTACAGACTGCAGACTACCAACTACTAATGGTTTAAAAATTATCATTCACATTAGCTCATGACTTTTGTTCTGATCCTTTGCGTCTGGTAATGAACGGCTTTGAAGTCATGTATAACTGTGATATATTTTAAGACCATGTTCGTTATCCTTTCTTTTCGTGTTCTGTTACGTAAACAAAGGGTTTTGTATAAATACGCATGCGCTGTGCCACAAAAATGCGCTTATTCGTGAAAGCTAATTTGCGGGGAAAGGATTGACGTTAGCTTGTACAAATACACTTAGTGAACTTTTCCCTCGAGGAAGTCTCCGGAAACGCTCACAACAGACAAGGAACATGAAGTAAATTTCAAGAATGGTAGAAAAGAAAGGAAACCAGTAGACATTTCCTAAATAAGCGAGTTAGCAGAAGAATGAAGTTTAAAAACGAAAATATTTAGTGCAGAGGACTTAGAATATTGCTATCAAATCCAACGGCATGCAAAAGAAGAAAAAGGATGGACTTTTTAAAAAAAAAAATTGAGTTAAATTGTCCTTTTTCATTAAACCAACGTTTTACATGACAGACGGGAGATTTTGGAAGCCATGATCTGTAAGCAGAAAGGATATGATACACACACACACACACACACATACATACATACATACATACATACATACATACATACATACATATATATATATATATATATATATATATATATATATATATATATATATATATATATATATATATTATGAAAGTCCGGCAATTATTTTAATATATTTTCTGTTTATACATTCTTTTTATAGATACAAATATTTAAGTAAATGCTCTGTTTATAATAAACAGTATTAACAACATTTACCGGCCTGAATACATGTTCGATTCCTGTCGGCGGACACATATATTCTATGAAATTTCTCGGACATTCAGGCTGGTAAATGCAGTTAATACTTTTTTGTTATAAATACTTAAATATTTGTATCTATAAGAATAATGTATAAATAATAGATAGATAGATAGATAGATAGATAGATAGATAGATAGATAGATAGATAGATAGGGAAAGAGGGGTGTCACGATAGACCGTTGAGAAAAGATTGCACCGAAATTTTTAGGAATACTGTGTCTCATAGCTTATAAAAGTCTCGGATATATAAAACTACTCAGCAAAATATCAAAAAATGGCGATAGATGGCGCTGATGTTAAAGAACCACTCAACCCCGATTATCACTATCGTCCTGTTAATTTTCCATTTTGTTTTGAGACATTCGTTTCCGAAACTTGTATATAAATCGGAAAAAGAAAATAATTACAAGCTAAAACAACAAAAAAGGAAAACTTTGTGTATTTAAAATCAAAATGAAATATTTTCATTGTTTACAATTTGTAATTTGCCTGTTGGGCTGTTCATTTTGCTGATAATCATGCATTTTGCCGAGAACCATGCATTTTGCTGACAACCATGCATTTTGCTTTCTCGCAATTGAGCTTCAGTCTTTTCTTATTCATGAAATCATATCTCAAATATTTCACAATTAAATCCAGTAAATACTACGAACCTCACAAACTCTTCCCAAAGAACAAAGCAATTTACTGTATATCTCAAGGACACACCCAAATTTCGACTTGTAAAGTTTTCAAAAATAAATAAACATCGAATTATTTACACTCAGAATATTGTCTCCATCTTTGTTGTTATCATCACAACTTTTTGGCCGATGTGACCTCCGGCCTTCATCGGGTGCTTGTCGATGAAGACCAGAAGTCACAACGACCGAAACTTTGTCATAATAACACCAAAGATGAGGCCAATTGTTAATATGGAAATAATCATATTTAACTCCTGACCCCATAAATACAAACAGAAATAAATCTAATTAAGATAAAAAAAAGTAACCTTCGAATTGTAAAATGCTTGGTGAATATTTGAGATTTATTTCTGGAAGAATTAGCGTTTTTGATAATAGGAAATACAGTGTTGGTTGTTTAGAATTCACGCAAATATCACGCAAAGTCTGTCCTGCTATTTACCCAATATCCTTTCCTAAGGATATTAGCATGTAATGGATCCGACTGGAATTCGAACTTGGCTCTCCGATTCCTCAGTCCGAGCCGCTATCCATTATTCTACCGTCTATTAAGTTTTACTTAATGTCATCTCTATTCAGGCCGTAAGTGATGATGGTCCTCCACGTATTACTCTTTATCTCCTACACTGGCTGTTAACTAAGAGTGAGCTCCCTGCCATTTAACCAATAGATGGAGATATGAAAAAAGACGTTCAAGCCTTTCTCATGGGCAGAAGTGTGAAAATGGACGCATCAAACTAGACTGGAATTTGAAATCGGTTCGCCGATTCCACGTTTCTGTGCCGATAATCGTTACGCTGCCTGCACATACCTTGTATTAAATAATATTCATAATAGGTTGCTGGGATCAAACTGGTTCATCTAAAAAATGCTCAGAGAGAGTGAGAAGGGGGGAGATTGGAAGAGAGAGGAAGAGAAGGGAGTGGGAGATCATATAATCTTCTTATTTAGTATCTTCTTCTATGTGCTGTTTCCCCTTCAGGATGTGGAAATCATGACTCTCTACAACTTCCTATCTTTTGTAGCTCTTAATAATGTTTCTTTCTTTACTCTCTCTCTCTCCCAGTCCCTGTTTTGCCATCCATTTTCACAATCTCGTTAGGTAGTTTACTTACTGCTTTCCTCCATCACTCTTGCATTCAATATGCCCTGTGAGTGTCAGATTCTCCAAGCCTTCTTTCTTTATTACGTGTCCCAGAGACTGCAACTGCTTCTTCTAATTCTAAATATAAGTGTCCTTTTTACTTCTATTATTGTTAAATCCATGGTATTCTCAGCATCCTTCTGTATAACCAGATTTAAGTTGTCGCGAGTCTCTTCTTCGTCTATGAAGGTGGGTGTGCGGATGGTGTAATGGTTAGCAGTTCGGAATAAAAAAAATCGAAGAACCGTGTTTAATACGCTCACTAACGCGCAAATAGTTTGACTTGTATCTGGAAAAATCATTGTTATCTCCAAAAAGTTTTAATGCAATAGTCACTCGCAAAAAATAGACTTTACCATGAGAAATACATTTCGGTTTTAAATAACCTATAAAGGGTTGATAAGCCGTACAGAGAACAATCAATCAGTTATCTGTAAAATGATTGTCTGATAGATTTCGATAAAGTGTTGTTTTAAATGAATCTAAATAAGCAAGAAAAAAGGTTACCTTTCATCAAGAACCAATGAAAAAGATTTATCCCGATGCCGAAATAACTTAATTGAGGTTTCTTATTCAAAATCTCTAAAAGATTTACCAATATTAAGACTGCCATTTGAGTTTCTATTTCTTAAGTGATCTTGTGATAATATGTTTCCTCAACCGGGTAAGAAGTGTAAACTTCACATCCTCTGAGCTACCAAATATGCGCTCTCACTAAACGACACTAAGTGACTATCCATCTTTCATGCTCACAATTTACATAAAGCAAGTAAAATCTGCTACAAAGGCCACGTACAAGGACTTCTTAGTTCCAACAATGTAAGAAAGGTCAATTAGAAAGAGAGAGAGAGAGAGAGAGAGGGAGGGAGGGAGGGAGAGAGAAGAGATGGAAAATAAGAAAAAATAATGAGAGGAGGAAAAGCAGGGACGTCGCATGTTGTAAGGATCAAGAGGTCAGTTTCAAGTCAAAGGGCTCAGATGTCAAATAAAAGAGTCAAAGGTCAAGTAGAAAACCCGAGATCACTACAGTCAAGTGTTGATGGTATTGTTGATCTAAGAAGGATTCGTGCTGCTACCGTGAATAAGGTTATATTGTTGTAAACCTTGTGAGTCAGAGTTCAAATCTAGACGCTTCTTTTTTTTTTCACATTCTTAGACATAAAGTTACCTTATTTTCTATTAGTTATGACACATTGTTCTGTTATTTTTGGTTTTGTTTTTTTTGTTGTTGTTTTTTATACAGAATGATGTTAGTGTTACTGTTTTAAGTACTTATAATTTCGTAAAGGTTCGCTCTCGTTCTCTTTCTACCCAGGTCATACGTGGCCGAGTTGATCTAAGGTACGTCAGATCTAAGGTTAGTTTCCCTTACGCGTAGCAAGTTCGAATCCTACCGGAGGACGCAAGATTTTCGAATATTCAGTAGATGTAAATAAATAAATATACTGTTTAATAGATAAATAAAAACAGAGCATCTACTCAAATATGAGGATACATTAAAAAAATAATTTTTAAACAAATAAATTTAAAAAAAAAACATACACATATATACACGCACATCTGCTTATACGTTATTGTTTTATAGATATAATTTATCTAAGTAAATGCTCTGTTTTTTTAATTAAACAGTATTAATTACATTTACCGGTCTGAATTTCCGAGAAATGTCGTAGAAAATATGCACTTCTCCGACAGGAATCGAACCTGTAACCATAGTGCGAAGCGTCATTTGATTTGACGTGGTGTTAACAATTCAGCCACAAAGAAGCGTCTGGTTAGCAAAACCCAAATAAACAGAAAATATATTAAATAATTGGCGGATTTTTAATCTATTTCGTAATACATTGTCCATGTTTACGTTAAGATATATTTCGTGAGCAGATCTGATCGATCGAGAAAAATTGTGAAAGGTGTGTGTTTATAAATAGTAATTCTTACTTTGAGAAGATTTAGGGTTGATCTTGGTAAAGAAGGAGGGTAACTGCTGGAAGATGCTTTGTCTGGTAACATGACTCTGCACCATGCTACACAAGCAGAAGAACCCAATCATGGTTGTCAGACAATTTCTGTAGCCACATCACCCCTTACATCTGGACACCAAACTCCCCAGACTGTAACCCCCTTCATTATTCATGTGGGGCGCAATTGAGCGAGAGACCAACAAAACTCCTTGTAATACCATAAATGAAAAGAAGGCAAAGATTATGCCGGCAGCATTCAACAACTTAAACAAGTAGACCGTCCAGAATAGTTGCAGGAGATTCTGAAGTCGTCTGGAGGCCATGGTTGAATTCCAACGTTCACAGCATTAATCCAAAAGAGGCCTCGATACGGATATTAGAGCGATAATTATTTATTTATTATAATTTTATCATACACACCAAACCATTTTCCTCACTACAAAGATGCAACCTCGTTTCAGTGCATTTCAACTGCACTGAAACGAAGTTGCATTTTTGTAGTGAGTAAAATGGTTTTGCCTATATGATAAAATTATAATATGTGTGTGTGTGCGTGCGTGTGTGTGTGTGTATTATAGTTTTATTATATACTATATGAGGTCAACATTCAGTGCGTCGCTACTGGGTGTTGACTTCAATGTCCACTTTTAAACTTGCATACTCTCTATCCCTGATATTGAGCACTTTATGTTTTAAATATATAAATAAAATTATATATATATATATATATATATATATATATATATATATATATATATATATATATATATATATATATATATATATATATATATATATATATTAATTTCTTTTTCCTTGCTAAAACAATATTAAAATTTGTACACTCCTGCTTAGGCTCATGCGAGTTAGTTTTCTAACATGTTAATGTTAGTTTTGTTATTTTGTGTAGGGCACCCAGTGAATAACGAACTCACTAAACTGTAGTAATTTGTAATTAGACTTGCCTAAATAAACATTATCCCTCACCGTGCTGGGTCCAAGGGTGCTTAGACGCCCGTGTATTTACACATATGTGGTGTTCTCTTAACACTACCATCCTCGGGGAAGGCATTCGTCAATTTCTACTAACCACCCACCACACCTAGCTATTGGTTAATTTGCAGGAAATATTGTACTCTTTAGTTTTAGCCAATCTGGGAGAAGCGTAAGTCTGAATTAGCCCTACCCACGCCAATGCCAAGACACCATACGCCCGGGTGACTGGGTCGCACCCATTACTTCTCCTATCTGGCAGAGTTTGAGGAAAGATTGAGTCCTGCATTAGACTGAAAGGATGACTGGTATGAATAAATAAATATACAAACAGACCATTTTATAAGTCACAATGTTTCTTTATAATTTAAAAGTTTTCTTTTGTTGCTGTTTTTTACACACATACACACACACACGCGCGCGCACACACACACACACACACACACAGCCCTACGTATTAGATGCACGATGATTTTGTTATTGTTTTTTTTTTGGGGGGGGTGTCTTTTTTTACCTCTTTCTATCATTTTCTTTTCGTTGCTTTCCTCTTTTGATCTTGCCTTTCTTTTTGTTCTTTTCTTCGTCTTTCTTTTTTTATCCTTTTCTTTTTCTCCTTGTTTTCCTTTTTCTTCTTTCTTTCCTATTTGACCTTTTTGCCTTCTTTATTTCGTTATTATTTTTCTTTCCTTTCCTTGTGCTTTTTTCTTGTTTACCTTTTTTTATTTTTTTGCTCTTTTATCCTTCTTTTCTTTTTCTTTTTCCCATGCACTTTTCTCTCTGTTCATTTTACCTTTCTTTTTTTTCATTCTTTCTTTTTTGTTTTGCCTTTCCTGGCTTTATCCTCTTTTTTTTCTTCTTTCTTTTTTGATCATTTTTCCCTCTTTTCTTTTCCCTTGTCTCCTGATCTTTTCTTTCTTTCTTTTCATTTTACCTTTTTTTTTTCATTCTTTGCTTTTTTTTTTTGTCTTTCGATGCCTTACACTTTTTTCTTCTTTCTTTTTTGAACAGTTTTCCTTCTTTTCTTTTTTCCTTTTTGTCCTTTTTCTTTCTTTCTTTCTCCCTTCTTTCATTTTGTCTTTCTTTTCACTTTCACAAATATCATTCTCCGTCTTTTGATATTTTTCCATCTTCTGTTCCTCCTCCTACAACTTCCTAATTTTCTTTGGTTTTTTGTTTTTCATTATTAATATTTCGGTTATTTTGGCGGGAGTGGCTAGTTTATTTATTTATTTGTTTATTTATTCGTTTTACTTATTTAATTTATTTTACTTGTTTTCCATTTTCATTTTTTATTTTATATATTTATTTATTCTTTTTGTTTTTAACGTAGTGAAAAATATTGGGGGGATTTGCTAATTTAATAGTTTGTTTTGGTCTGGGAAGATAATTAAAGCTTTTTATTTGTCCAAATAAAATAAATAATCCAAATAAATAATAAACAAATAAAAACCTGCCTCCTGCCAAAAAAACAGAATAGACTACGGCAAACAATCTAAACATTGGACGGATAAAAAGCTTTATCTTCCCAGACCAAAAAAAAAAAAAACTATTAAATAAACGACCTAAGCAAATCCCCCAATTTTTTACTACGTTAATAAAACATCGAAAACCGAAAACCCACAATGCACCCCTGACCCATATATATAAATAGTCGAGGAAAAATCCAACACTCGCGGCTTGACGATTGCGTCTAGCATGAAAGAGCTTGTCGCCTCTGAGTGTTGATTTCAATGTTCACTTTGATACACACACACACACACACACACACACACACACATATATATATATATATATATATATATATATATATATATATATATATATATATATTCAGCAGTACCACAATATTTTACATATTTTAACACTATAAGCATTTTTGTATTGGGGTATGTAAGCCCCTCAAGGACTACCCATTTTCGGAAATCCGAGCTGAATAATGCAGGATTAATCGTTTCACTCCAAGCAAGGCAATAAAGCCACTAAGACGCAAGAGGTTACTGGGTGTAAAAGAATATAGGAAAAGAAAACATTATTAAGAAGAGAGAACAATAAAAGAGCAGTAATTAAGAAGCCAGATGAAGATTTAAAGATCAAAGTTGACTGAAAAACAAGAAGCCGGAAGAAAGTTTCACGAACAAGAAGTGCGATAGAAGAAACTGTTAGCATAGAACTTACGGTTACATCTAACTATTTCAACTGTAAGATGATGAGACCTTGCCGCCAATTTAGTAATGCGCTTAAATTCATGAAGTCTACGTGCCATAGAGGAAAGTTCATCTGAACAATTACCATGAAATTATTTATAAAAATAAATGAGCAATGCGAAGCTAATTTACTGAAGCTGAGATATTTAAGACTGTTTTTAATCGCATTCAGTCAAGGCAAGGCAAAATGGAAGGAGAAAAAAATCAGAAAACACAACGAGATGACAGGTCAGGACCAACAACATTACAGATTCTTCATTGTATTTTATATCTCTATATACATATTGTTCTGTTAAGATTACAAATATATATTTTTAGATAAAGTAACTGTATTTATTCTTTTCATCAGGTTTCGGAATATTGAGTTAAGTTTCCAAAAGATCTTCCTTGTTCTTCAGATGTGTTTTCTGATTTTTTTTCTCCTTCCATTTCTTTCGCCTTGACTGAGTGCGCTTAAAAACATTCCTAGATATTTGTAGTTCATACTTCCGTTCAGCATCGCCTATTCATTTTGTCTATATCCTGTCTTATAATTAACACCGCTTAACTTTTGTCTCTTACGTAATTTCTTTATAAACGTGTTCTACCTTCTTTTTTCTATTTCTCTCAAACGCCGATCATCTACCTATCTGACCCCGCTTCATCTTGTCTACGTTGTCTGATTTTGCCTGAACATTTTCTCATTATGTTAGCTTTATTTTATTCCCTATTTTACTCACGTCCTTTCTGTTTTATTCGCTTCCTTCTCCCCCGCTCTCTCTTTATCGTTTGTCTTTTT